CTCCCTTATAGGTGATTTGATGCTTCTCTCTTGCAGCTTTTAGGATTCTCTCTTTGTCTTTGAGTTTTGCCAATTTGACTATAACTTGTCTTGGGGAAGACCTTTTCAGGTTGAATACGTTTCGGGATCTTTGAGCTTCCTGGATCTGAAGATCTGTGACTTTTCCTATACCTGGGAAGTTTTCTGCCACTATTTTGTTGAATATGTTTTCAATGCAATCTCCTTTTTCCTCCCCTTCTGGAATACCCATGACTCGGATATTTGAGCACTTAAGGTTATCTGATATCTCTCTCAGATTTCCTTCAATGCCTTTGTTTCTTTTCTTTCTTTCTTTTTTTTGTCTGCCTATGTTATTTCAAACAGCTCATCTTCAAGTTCAGTGGTTCTCTCTTCAACTTCCACAAGCCTGCTGGTTAAACTCTCTGTTGTGTTTTTTATTTTGCTGAATGAATTCTTCAGTATGGCAAGCTCTCCTACATTTTTTTTCAGGGCATTGATTTCCCTGTACATTTCTTCTTTCAGGTCCTGTATACTTTTCCTTGTTTCATCATGTTGTCTAGCTGAGTTTTCTTGTATCTCATTCAGTTTCCTTAGAATTATCACTCAAAATTCCTTGTCAGACCTTTCAAGGGTTTCTTGTTCTATAGGATCTAGAGCTTGAGAGATATTACCCTTTGGTGGTGTACTTTCTTGATTTTTCGTACTTCTGTTATCTTTTCTTTGATGTTTATTCATTGTGGCAGGGGGTTTCACAGTCCACATGTTTGACACTATTGTCTGACTAAGATATTGCTGGGGTTGCCAATTTGGTATGGCTACCTCAGTGTCTGCTCCGTTGGCCACTAGTGCCTTGCATGTGTGGTTGCCTTGGGTCTTGGGCCTCTCCGGGGAGCCACCTCTGTGGTCAGCATGGACTTGGCTGGGCTGCTGGGTCACGGGGTGGTACCGCAGGGTGTGTGGTCTCTGCCAAGCTTCCACATCCCCTGCTGGACATCTCCTTGTTCCGCGCACACTGGGCCAGGCTGCTGGGATGCACGGAGGCACCGCAGAGCGTGTGGTCTCTGCATAGGTTCCACTTCCCCTGCTGGACGTCTCCCTGCTCTGTGCGCACTGGGCCAGGCTTGGGATGGAGCCGGGTGGCGGCAAAGCCTACCGGCTGGATCATGCAACAGCGGCCCCACAGGACGTGTGGTCTCTACGGAGCTTCCGCCTCCCCTGCCGGACATCTCTCTGCTCCGTAGGCACTGGGCTGGGCTGCTGGATCGTGCGGCAGTGGTGTGGTCCCCGCGGAGCTCCTGCCTCCCCTGCCGGATGTCTCCCTGCTCTGTGCGCACTGGGCCGGGCTGGGAATGGAGCTGGGTCGTGGCGGTGAAGCCTATCTGCTCATACATTGAACGTTTCAGAGGCTGTGAGTTCCAAAGTCCAGGGAACACCTCCAGTGAGGGTCTTAGTGGAGGCAACAGTGACAGCAAGGTATCACATTGCAAAAATGGTAGAGCAGAGAGAGTATATACTGGATTTCAAAGACTTAATACAAACAAAATACAAACTATCTTGTTAATAATGTATTACATTGTTTATATGTTGAAATGTTTTTGACATAATGTTAATAAATATTAAAATTCCACTAATTTCTTCTCGTTTTTTAAAGTGATACTAGAAAATTTTAAATTACATGTGTGGCTCAAATTCTGTCTCTACTGGACAGCACTGATATTGAGCATTTATTACTTTTTACAGCTGTATAGTATTCCACTTCATAGAGAACCACAATTTCTTTAGCCAGTCTACTCTTGATGCATACTTGCGTTGTTTCCAATCTTTTACTGTTTAAAAAATGCAGAAATACTTAACTTTGCCCGCACATCATTATATATGTGTGCAGGTTGATCTGTAAAATGAATTCCCAGAATTGGAATTACTTGGTCAAAGGATAATTTTTAAATTTCTAAGTTTGATGTTGCCAAATTGCCCTCCATGAGTGTGTACCCCCTAGCAATGGGCGTGAGTGCCAGTTTCCCCATATGTGCCATTTGATGCTACATTTATCTGTATATTTAGGATAAAATAATTAATACATTTCTTTTTGCTAATTCTGAGTTTTAAGAAGTCACAAATGGTTTGCTTATCTTTTTTTCTGTTAATAAAAAGTAAAGAAAATCTGGATCCCCTTACCACCCAGCCACCAAAAAGAAAAAAGTAAAGAAAGTCTACTATTGATGATAAAACTCTTAGAATCAGCATTTTAGAATTGATTTTTAAAAATGATAACATCAAAGAATTAACCCACGCAGTTTCCTCAGGATGTAAATTTTTACGGAAGTTGCAACTTTCATCACATTCAGACTTAGGAATAGGGATTTTGTGAAAGTTCAAGTGGATAAGGGACATTTTCTTTTGTTTTCCGAGAGTTAAGAGATTTCTCAAATTTCTCCAGCAACTTTCACTGACGCTGTGGTAGACTAACATTTCAGGGTAGAAAGGCAGTTTGCATGCAGTTTTTGCATGCTGTCAGTTAATCAATTCCTTGGATTAGTTTTACTGTATACTAAACACATTCTAACTTAATGGACTGCTTTACTGAGGAAATCCTTTGGCAATGTAATGGGAGCTTAAGAGCTGCCATAATCATTAGATAGTTCATTCTATTTACGTTATTAATAAAGTGCAGAAAAAGTTCATCTTTTCACCTGAATGATCCCTCTGTTGTCCCTCTTTTGAGACTTATATTCCCTCTATTGCCCTCTTTGCTTTTTTGTTTGTTTGTTTTTTCAGATAGGGATGAAGTAGTAAACATTCAGTATCCAAAATCAAATTACTTCAAATTTTCCATTCATAAGAATCTGAAAATAAGATTCTTGTAAAGAGAAATCTCACTATGTAGTTAGGGATGTGCCAGATAAGCTAATAAATTAGTATAATGAAACTCTTGTTTTTTGGGACTCTAAAGTCATCTTTTGGCAAATCCTAGAGGCATAGAAATGTATTTTATAGCAAATATGACTATTGACATTTACTATTTTCAGTGTTTTGATTTTCAATATTAAAAGACTAAGTAAAGAAAAAAAGTTGGCTGATAATGTGGATCATGCAGGAGGAGCACTAGGACAAGGGGACCATTGTAGTGGCCACCCTTGGTGATCAGTGCTACTGAGTCATTTCTCCTGTGCTTAAGTTACAGAATAAAAAGGATACAACTTTCTAATAGGAAGCATCTGCAACACAGCTATTCTTCATGTCCCTTTTTGCTTCTGTTGCTAATTTTGTCCAATTATTTTGTTTCAGGAAGGGTTTTCACTCATTGGTAGCAAGAACTGGTTGAAGATTGTAAGACGTGTGGATTGTCTATTGTTTGGAACAACGATAAAGGCAAGATAATGTTGGCTGTGTGGCCAACTATTTTTAAGCAAATGATCATACTCTTCTCATCTTCTATGTGTGTATGGTGGGGGTGTGGGTGGGACCTTCCATTTGTAGGTGAAATGGGACTGGGAAGACTACTCATGTTTAAGAAAGGCTTGCATTATGAACAAAGCATGAAACGAGGACTGTAGAGAGGCAGGAGCCTTGTTAGCAAGAGGACACTGCTAAAGAGCCAGGGCTTTGATTGATTTGTCAATACATGTCTGATGGGAGCTGTGTGACCAATCTCTGTCCCCCACGTACAAATTGGAAGGAGGTAGAGTACATCATTGTTTGCTTTGTTATTTAGGTGTTTTTACAAGTGTATATTTTTTAATGCCTCACTGAATATTCTTTCATTTTTTCCCTCTTTAATATTAAAAAATATTTCCTTTTATTTGCTTTCTAGCTGTATTAAATGTACAGAATGAATCTCATCAAAGAAACAGGCAGACTAATCACCTGGTTTATTTTCTCTCAGAAATATCTATAATAAACCAATCTGTTAATATTCACTGAGTAGATAATATTGAAATTTAGGTGAAAGATGCTAATTTTTAATGGACTCGTAGACTCTGAAAGTTGGAAGAGGTCTTCAAGAGCATCTAGTAGAGGGGACTTAACCTGGGGTAACCAGACTCCCAAAGGATTCCCACAGAATTCAAAGGTTCAGAGGGTCCATGAACTTGCATGGATTTTCACTGGCCTCTAATTGAAATTTATCATTTCCTTCCGTTTATGAACGTAGGCAACAGAGCACAGTAGTATTAGACCTTCTCACCGATAGAAATCACTGATACTTTTATATCACATTATAGTTAATTCAGATATCTCAAGTGTTATTTATGCTCATCACTACCTCAAAGTTAAGGCGGGTGGTTATTAGTCCTGCTGCTCGATCCTTTTATTGACTGCATTAGTAAAGAAGTATGTATGTTATTAGTTCACAAATTAGTGTTTTAATATTGTAATAAACTCATTCATTATAATTGGTTTCCTTTGTAATGTTATGTATTTTGTGAGATTAAAAACATTGTTCTGAGAGGGGGTCTACTGGCTCACCAGACTGCCAGAGAGGCCTGGAGCACACACTCCAAAACATTCAAAAACCCCTGTTTTCATTTTACATATGAGGAAACTGAATTTGACTCAGGCCAGTAGCCAAGGTTGTGAGTAGCTATCAGGGGCCGGCCCCGTGGCTCACTCAGGATAGCACCGAGGCCACGGGTTCAGACCCTATATAGGGATGGCTGGTGCGCTCACTGGCTGAGCGCGGTGTGGACAACACCAAGCCAAGGGTTGCGATCCCCTTACCTGTTAAAAAAAAAACCCAAAATAATAATAATAAAAAAAACCCATTATTAACATTTTAAAGTTTTTACTAGTTATATATATTGTGTCAGTTTGAATTGTGTTCAGATGCATGTAACAGAAAACCCAAAAAAATAAGGGTTTCTTTTTTTCGCTTAGTAAGAAATCCAGAAAGAGGCACTTGCTGGCAGTTGCAGGCTTTGATCCAGCAGCTCAGCAGTGTCGAGGTCAGCATCTCTCACACAGTTGAAATGGCTGCTGCAGGTCTCTTATACTCCTATTTGGCTAAGGTCAGCTTCACCTGTCCCTTTTATAAGGAAAGCATAAACTTTCCTATAAGGCTGTCCATCTCCCCCAACCCCCAGATGTCTGCTTGTGTGTCATGGACCAGAATTTTTGTAACATGGCGGTCCCAATCTACAAAGATTAGGACAATGAGTGTTTGGCTTTTCCAGCCCCCGTTGGAGGTTGTCTCATGGCAATTAATAGTATCTGCCATATAGATAATTTATAAAATTGAGATTGTAGTACTTTGTATCCTGCTCTTTTGTCTTTTTGCGTAATTTTTTTCTTCAAAGTATTTAGACAATATATGTATAATTACATAATTTTTATATATTTATGTATATATTAATAGAGATTTTAAAAAATATTTAAGCCTAGGAACCTTTTGCCTGTTGTTATTGTGAATTAGAAACAGCTAATTAACTATAAACAAGAAATCAGCTCAATTTCACAAAGGAAGATTCATAGTATTATCACAAACTAAATGTATGGTTCTCTTATCCAGTTCTTTTCCCTTCCTCGGGGAAAGTTAGCTTTCAGTGACTCTTGATAATTTTTGGATTATCCATCTAAGAGAAAAATGGCTGAGGGCATGAATAGGCAGTACAAAAGAAAAAATACAAATGACCAATAAGCATAAGAGAAATACTCATCCTCACTGATAATCACAAAAGTGAAATTTTAAAAACTATGTGAACGTAGTGGGTTGACAGAAATTAAAAAGAATAAGAATCCCCAGTGTTGGAAGGGCAGGGAAACAGATACACAGACTGGTGAGGAGGAAACTGGTCCTGTCTTACCACAGGTCAGTTTGGCATTATGTATCAAATATATGAAATATACATGTCCTTTGACCCAGGAAGTCTGCTTTTAGGCATTTATACACAAAGATGTATGTGTGAGAGTGCTTATCAAAGCTTTCTGGTTTATAATAGGAAAAAAGGCTGGAAATAACCTGTTTGTCAGTAGGAGGTCAGTTAAATAAAAGAATACTCTTCAGCCATTGTAAATAATGAGGTATATGTCTATTTTTATATACTTACGTTAAATAAATTAGGCTACAGAACAGCAGTGTAGTTTTATATATACATACATATACACTATATATAACAAATATATTTAATGTATGTGATATATAACCTATAAAATATATTTATGTATGAGTATGTATGTGTTGTAATATATGAGTGTATTTCAAAAACTTTGTGGAAAAATGGAATTAAAAGATAATACTAATCTTTCCATGAACTTTTTGAAATACCCTCGTATATGTACATATTAGAGTTATTTCCTTTTTATATTTTCAGTGTTGGAAGAGGTAATGATAATGGATTACTTTTATACTCAGAGGAAAAAATTAGATGAATCAAAATATGAAGAGAACCAAACAGTGGCAGCAAAAAGGGGTAGGGGTGTCTACTTTTCTAAACATGATACCTTATCATTTCTTAGCCATGCCAAGAGTTTTCTGTAACCTAAATACATGGCTTTCCTTGATGGGTTTATCTAAACAGTGAAATGTGTGGACACAAAAAGCAGGATTTTGTTAACTGTGGTTAGAAATATTCTCAAATTAGCAGTATGGCTTATGTATTTAATAAGTGAAAAGGACTGTCACTGCGCTAAGCTTAGCATTTGCATTTCTTTACAGAAGAAACTGAACAAAGGTATATAATAGATATAGTCATGTTTGGGATGGCTTTTTTTTTTTTTTAAGATGACCGGTAAGGGGATCTTAACCCTTGACTTGGTGTTGTCAGCACCACGCTCACCCAGTGAGCCACGGGCCATCCATATAGGGATCCGAACCCATGGCCTTGGTGTTATCAGCACCACACTCTCCCAGGTGAGACACAGGCCAGACCTTGGGATGGCTATTAAAGTAGGCAGAATATTAGACTAGAAAAAGGAAACTACTACTACTAAAATAATGATTTTATGTAGTTATTGTTACATTCTAGATCTGTTTTTAAATTTACAATCTAATAAGTTTGATGTACTAGTTAGATTTTTAAAAAATTTTAATTGCATCTGTCTCATATTTGCTAATTTGCCAAGGTATGTAAAAGGCAACATCCCACTATGTGATTTGTATGGCAGTCTGGCCTCTTTGGGATAAAGCGGTACAGATTATTAATATGAGATATTATTAATATAAGACAGATTAGCCTTGAACATCTGCCTGTCCCTTATTCCATGGTATTTTTTAAGTTCACTGCCTTGTTTAATAGGTATCTACAAGATTTGCTTTCTTATTTACTCAATTTAGAAAAGAACTTTTGAGCCAGGACTATGCTGTATTATCTTCACTGATTTCCCACTTAAAAGAATTAGAAGCTATGAAATTGTGACACCAAAGCAAGATAAAACACTGATCTACTACAGTCAGTATGGTGACCTTCCTTGTCTTTACAATACTTATCTTCACTGATTTCCCACTTAAAAGAATTAGAAGCTATGAAATTGTGACACCAAAGCAACATAAAACACTGATCTACTACAGTCAGTATGGTGACCTTCCTTGTCTTTACAATATGAGCTTTTCCACTTTTGCTGTAAGTCCCCTGAGGGAAATGAGTTTTAGTATGAGGAACAGCTTCTAAAAGGGGGAAGAAAATGAATTATTGGCTTCTCTGTACCTACGTCAACAAGCAAAGGTGATGGCTCCTTTATCCACACTTTTTCCCCCTCCAAGCAAAGGGGCCACTCACTAGATGTCCCCATAGTAAATAAAAGTAAAGTGATATGATGAAGGTCTCTCAGGATCACTTTTGATTTGTCAAACAGGACAAGAGTCGCATGTTTCGGGTACAGTTTAGCGGAGAGTCAAAGGAGCAGGCACTGGAACACTGCTGCAGTTGTGTGCAAAACCTGGCCCAGTACATAACTGTTCAGGTGCCCGATGGAATCATCCAGGAGCTTCGACCGAGTCCTGGCCCACTGAGGGCAGGTGAAAGCCAAGGGAAGGACTGTATGAGGAGTGTCCCACTGCAGCACGGAGTAAGTAGGCTTTTGTGTTGGCTATATGGGAAACCTGACAGAGAAATGTACTGTGGGGGCCAAAATCACAATAACTTGTGAAGTCCTTCAGGTTTGTAGTTTAAAAGATATCTAATTTTGAGTGACTTTTTAAAATTGAAGGCTGATACTCACTGTAGCCACCTGTAATCCTAGAAATTAGACAGGGAAGGAGTCCCAGCTGCATTCTGGGTGTCACTATAGAACTGTCCATGGACACCTCCCTGAGACCCTTTCAGGGGGCCCATAAGTCAAAGTTATTTCTGTAATAATATAAGACACTATCTGCCCTTTTCACTGTGTGGACATTTAAACTGATGGGACAAAAGCATCATGAATAAAGCTGCTGTCATCTCAGTATAAGACAAGCAGTGGCACCACACTATTATAGTCGTCATGGTGTTCTTCACCACTCACTGGCAATAAAAACAAACTAGCAAAACGAAACGACCTTGCCTTCTGCAGTACAATGGTTGTCTCAAGGGAAAGCACCCATGTGACATTTGTGTTATGAGATGAACTGGCCTCTTTTTTAGTGGAATACCATTATTACTTGAAAGAACAATGGACAGACTATGGTTCAGATTTGGGTATGTGGCAGACTTTTCTTAGAAATGAATGAAATGAGCCTATCACTTCAAGAAAAAAAACCGTCAGTATTTATTGACAATGATAAAGTTTAAGCTTTTGGGTGAAAATTAGAATCTTGGGAACCTTGTATCTGCCTCATGAGCTTCACACCTTCCTAACTCAGACTTTTCTGAAGGTGCTATTAATGAACATGATTTATTTTTATAAATAAAGTTCATGCCTTTCATAGCTGCTGTGCAAATTTGGTATCATGCTTCCTTTCTCAGAATCCATCTTAAGAGTTGCAAGTTACAGCCAGGTTCTGGTCATCTTGCTGCTCTCCTGTATTCAGCTGTGTCATTTTTCTAATACCTATGTATTTTTGTCTTTGCAAATAGAAATAATTCCACGTCTTTCAAGTTCTTGAGTCATTTCCTGGCTCATATTTTAGTTTTTACTTTTCCTCAGCCTTGTGATCTCATTAATTGTGGCCTAACCGGGCTTTTCTTGACCTGAGGGCTTCTAAGGCAACCCAGCCCACCCCGGGGTGGGTGCGTGCAGGGAGACAGGAGGGAGGGTGGCAATTCCTATGTGAACTCTTTCCTTTGTTAGCACAAAATGTCCAGAAGAACGAAGGTGGGGGGCTCCAGCTACTGTGCGCACAGAACCTTCCATCTCTACGCATTTGCGGGGCTGGACCATCTAATCTTAGAGCCTGCTAGCCTCAGGTGTTCAGTCACACTTGGCTGTTGTTTACAGCATAACAATTTTGATTGGCATCTTTCTCAGTTGTTTGATGAACATGTGTGAGCTCAATTGATATATATCCTAGGAAAGCATCAAATATCAGGGCTGGGAGAAACACTAGGTACCAGTCTGACTTTTTATTTTTACAGATGAGGAAACTGAATGGAGAAATGGGTCTTGTGTAAGGGCTCCTGATTGTAGAGACCCTTGGTCTTTTTGATTGTTTTCCTTTATTTTAGTATTTTGACTAGTTTGCATAGTTCTTTCCTTCCTCTCTGTCCTTTCCCACCCATCCTTTTTTTAAAATGTTTCCAGATCTAGTTTTCTGATACCTACTGACTAGCAACAATTAGCTTCCACATTGGACAAAAGGTAGAATTTGGCATCCTCTGTCTTCTAGCAGTCAGACATGTTGCTAATGGACAGAGGCACCCTCCAGAGTGGGCCTTGCTTTCTCTGTGTTACACCGTCAGCTCACAGCTAGCGCAGGAACACCACTGCTCGTCTGGAGATTAGGTATTGAAAGCACAGCCAGGGCCTGCAGACGTATGGCTAAGGAGCATTGGAGGGGTCCTTCTCACTTCAGACCTCCTACAACTTCTTCATTCCATTTGCCTGGAAAGCATCCCATTCTACCCGAGAACAGCTCCTCATTATGGATTCCCCTGAGATAGTGTGGACCTTGGCGCATTCCTGCACTTCTTACTTAGCACAATTTCCCCCTCCTCTGTGAGGCTGAACCACTTATGCTCCCCTCCATCCCAGCACCTCTTGAGTTGCAGGACAACCAGTTTTACTTGTTAGGTTCTCACTAGGCTGTGGGCTTCTGGAGGGCAGGCCCTCATTTTGATCTTTGTACCTCCCATCCCTTGTGTCATCCCGATGTCTATCTAGTATATAGTAGGTATAAAACTCTGCTGAATGGTGATATCTAGGAATTTTATTTATAGAACTCATTCCTTCAGAATTTCTAAAATGAGATTTAAAGAAATCCAAACCTAGATTTATTAAAAACATAGTTGTCTCACAATTATAGGGTTTTTCTCATTTTTCATTTCTGCAATGAGCATGTATTACTTGAATAATAACTTTTAGGTGACAAATCATGATCATCAGAAACTGATGATGATCAGAAGCTGCATGCAGTTGCCACAGCAGTGCTACCTGCTTCTTTGGGTGCTGGCCCTCCAGTGCCATCACATGGTCCTGACTCCTGGGCTGGTCCTCTCAACAGAGGACGCCATGGTGTCTGATGGGAAGAAGCACTAGTGGCCTGTCAGACCCTGAGGAACAGTAGGTAGAAATCAAGGGCCGCAGATTTAAACTCGCTCTGTACCACTACTGTGGTAAATCAAGCGTAACCCCTCATTTAAACAGGGCAGAACCTAAGCTGACAATGATTTTTACCATTTTCACTGATACTCTTTCACTGAACGTGAATGCATGTATTTCCACTTCTTTAATGGCCTGTGGTGTTTATGACTATGTGCAGCTAGTCTCCTAATTGCACATTGTTTTATTCTAGTCCCACCAGAACCTGGAACAGCAGGCATGTGTAATGGCCGGCACAGGTGCTCCAGAGGGAAGGACCTCAGTGACTCAGTTAGCACAGGTAGAGCCTATTTGTGTTTTCTTGTCATGAAAAAATGCTAAGAATGTGTAACACTATGTTCACTCCCTTATTCTAGAATAGAAACCTAAAGCATTACTATATAGAAGATGGTACAGACAGAGACAGGCCATTTTCATCTACCTGTTGTGAGATTAGACACAGTGGCACATACTCAAGAACTACCCTCCTTAGGAAATAAAGAGGAAGAGTGATTGAATGTCTGACAGGGAATTTGATAACCACTTTCCCAAAAAGAATAAAGGGGAAGAATTTAACTTTAGTTCCCAGATTTCATTTCCAAAATTTTCTATGACAAATAGCAAAATGCATTTGGAGTCAGATCTACTATGGTTTCTGAAGGGGCATATTTTCAGTGCTAAGATCCCAGCTAAGGTTGTATAGAAACCCAAAAGGATTCAACTCTGTTACCTCAGACCTGCTTTCAGATGGCACTTTTCCCCTGGAAGTTTGCTATCACCCAACAGTCCTATGAAACCTCTTCATTCAGAATCGTGGTTGCTTGATGTTTACCCTGCTGGGAGCTCCACAAGGACTCTGTCTTCCCCTCACTGTGTTCCTGCTACACTCGGTAGCAGAAGGTCACAACAACAGCTTATGCTTTCTACAGAATTCTGCATGAAGTTCATCAATATTCAAGGATGAATTTCTTTTAAATGCATCTATTAAACTGTGCTAACAGTGGTACAGAAAAGAAATTATGGGCGTTTTCTCCATCTGGCTCACCACTAACTCAAAATAAATGGACACTCATAAAGAAGAACTAAAGTTAAGAATAACTAAATAAGGATTCATGTCTATTTCTTTTAATAACTCAGCAACTATGTCAGAAAAAAATGAAAAAGCCTATTTGTCCAGCAGCAGGGCAGACTTCATAATGCCAATATTTGCATTGAGGTTAGGGGTTAATTAAATCAGAGTGCCTGAGGACACTAGAGCTGCAAAAAAACAAGGAGCAAGGCAGGTTGTGATGTCCTTATTTAGGAAATATCAGTTGCTATAAAAGATGTATCTTAGACCTGTTTATTTACATATTATGGAAAAACTATATACAAACGAGAAAAAGCATGAGGCTTGGAGCTCAGATATGTTACTTGTTTGCTCTAACCTTCTGGATAAGTCATTCTATGAATTTAAGTTGATAAAACTTTTTGGAGGCAATATAGCAATATACATCAAATGTAATATTTTATCTTATTACCTATAATTCCATTTCAGTTGCACAAATATATGGGTGTTTATCACAATGTGTTTTATAATAACAGAAAATTGGAAACACCACACATGTTCATTCAATAGGATATTGAGTGGTTAAATTGTGGTATAACCATAGATGGGATAAAAATGCAGATTAAAAAATAAAGGTTATGTAGATCCCTTTCTGTTGACATGGACAGATATTCACAATACATAAAGTTTTTTTAAAAGGAGGCTACAAAACAGCATGTATGATTCCACTTTTATGGTAAACACATTAAGTTTGGAAGGATATATACTAACAGGTTAACAGTGGTTCTCACTGGAGAAACAGGGCTCCATGTTACTTTCGTTTTCTTCTTTATACCTTTAGGAAAAGTCTGAAAAGCAGATTTGAATTTAGTAAAGCAAATTTCTATTATAGACAGTTTCTAGAGAAATGTAACTTGTATACTTATGCACTCTACCATGCTATCCATAGAAAGGGAATAAAATCACCTACTTCACAGAATTAACGTGAAGAGTCAGCAGGGCGACTGAGACAAGGTACCAAGTAAGTAACCACAGCAGCACTGGAGCCACTATCACCATGTGCGACTGTGGATTCAGTGCCGCCACATCTTCCAAACAGTCAAACACAGAGTTTTATTTGAACTCCTCTAACATTTAAATGTTGGCAACTTATTCAACTGGTTTTAAAACACTGCAGGTTACCAAAGAAAACATACAGATGGCAAATAAGCACGTGAAAAGATGCTCAAAATAATTAGTCATTAGGGGAAATGCAAACAAAAACCACAATGCACTATCCCTGTACACTTACTAGAATGGCTAAAATTAACAAAATCTGACAACACCAAGTGCTGGATGGATTAGCAACTGGAACTCTTATACACAGGGTCTTCAAGAAGTTCATGGAGGGCCGGCCTGTGGCTCACTTGGGAAAGTGTGGTGCTGATAACACTAAGGCCACGGGTTCGGATCCCTATATAGGGATGGCCGGTTGGCTCACTTGGGAGAGTGTGGTGCTGACAACACCAAGTCAAGGGTTAAGATCCCCTTACCTGTCATCTTAAAAAAAAAAAAAGTTCATGGAAAGATTCGTATTATCTTTTAATTCTATTTTCCACAAACTTTTTGAAGTACCCTCGGATATACTGCTGCTTCATTGTAAAACTAGGGATAAGTTTGCCAGTTTCTAATAAAGTTAAATATATACTTACTGTATGGCCCAGCAGTCTCACACCTAGGTATTTACCCAAGTGAAATGAAAACCTACGTTCACACAAGAACCTGTACATGAATGTTTATAGCAGCTTTATTCATAATTGCAAAAAGCAAAACAACCTAAATGTCCCTCAACTAAAGAATGGATAAACTATGGTACATCCGAACAATGGCTTACTCAGCAGTAAAGAGGAACAAACTACTGATGTACCCAACATGGACTAATTTCAAATGTATTATGCTAAGTAAAAGAAGCCAGATTCAACAGAGTATTACATACTTTGACTTCATTTATATGACGTTTTGGAAAAGGCAAAACTATAAGGTATGGGGCCGGCCTGTGGCTCGCTTGGGAGAGTGTGGTGCTGATAACACCAAGGCCACGGGTTCGGATCCCTGTATGCGGATGGCCTGTGGCTCACTTGGGAGAGCGTGGTGCTGACAGCACCAAGACCAGGGTTAAGATCCCCTTACCGGTCATCTTTTAAAAAGAAAACAAAAAACTATAAGGTATGGGGCCGGCCTGTGGCTCGCTTGGGAGAGTGTGGTGCTGATAACACCAAGGCCACGGGTTCGGATCCCTGTATGCGGATGGCCTGTGGCTCACTTGGGAGAGCGTGGTGCTGACAGCACCAAGACAAGGGTTAAGATCCCCTTACCGGTCATCTTTTAAAAAGAAAACAAAAAACTATAAGGTATTGGAGAAGAGATCAGTGGTTGCCAGGTATTATCGGTCTGACAACAAAAGGAGGCATGAGGGAATTTTTTGGAAGCCGATAGACATGTTCTGTATTTTGATTGTGGTGATGGTTACATGACTATTTGTCAAACCTTACAGATGGCCAGAAAAAAGTGTGTGAGCCAGTTGTATCCTTTGGGCGGTCAGTCTGTGACTTCTCTTACTTCCATTCATAACCCAGCTTCCACATGGTGGACTGCTCACACCCATTCCACTATCTGGTGGTGCGGAAGGTTAACTTAAGCTAGTGGAGTTCATTCGTTGATAGGTTTCTTATCAATCCAAAGAATTATCAAAGTAGGATCTCAACTTTGCAGATTGTCTCATCAATACATTTGAATACTCTTCTTAAGGATACAAGTTTCTCACTTTCCATGTGTATTCAGAAAATGTATATACAGATGGTCCTCAACTTATGATGGTGTTACATCCTGATAAGTCAAAATGCATTTAATACACTTAACCTAACGAACATCACAGCTTAGTCTAGCCTACCTTAAACATGCTCAGAACACACATATTAGCCTATAGCTGGGCATAATCATCTAACAAAGCTCATTTTATAATAAAGTGCTGAATATCTCGTAATTTATTGAATACTGTACTCAAAGTGAAAAACAGAATGGTTTTATGAGTACTTGAAGTATGGTTTCTACTGAATCGTGTATTGCTTTTACACCATCCTAAAGTTGAAAAATTGTTAGGTTGAACCACTATTAAGTTGGGGCCTCTACAAAATTGTCAGTGTAACAGTAAAACTTATTATGTAAAGGAGCTCTGTAAAGCTAATTAACACACTAATTTTTTGGTGTTTCCCCAATCTTTACTTAAGTCAATGTTTTCCTGTGTTCTATTATTCAGGGTATTGCTTCCACCTGTAATCTCTAATAAACTGTTCTTCCGGTATCCCCACAGTCTATCCTGGCATCGGAGGAGCTGCCCCTTGTCTATGAGCAATCTGCATGGGGTGCAGAGGAGTTAGGCCCCTTTCTTCGCTTGTGCCTCATGGATCAGAATTTCCCAGCATTTGTAGAAGAGGTAGAAAAGGAACTTAAAAAGCTGACGGGGTTGAGAAATTAATGCTCTATGTACATATATAACTACAGAACTTCAAAGTATTGAAAAATGCTTCCTCCTAAAATCAAAGATATTAAAGAGTATTATTCCAAATACCTTTTATCAATGTTTTATTTTTAAAAACAGGTGATCCACTTTTTTATACATCATTGCACTTCAACAGTTACACAAAACACAACTACATGCATCTATAGTTACACACTGCATGAGAACCCTGTTAGGTTATAAAATCTACCACCAACCATTAAATCAATGTGAAAAAATACAGTGTTCAAACCAAAAAGTATAACTACATTTGCATAGAATATCACCATGCTATAACATTTCAAAGTCATTGAAAACAAAAGGTAAATTATAAAAGTCTGCCTTAACTGAATGTACAAGAATAAGGTTTAACACATCAGTGCAAAAAGATTTAAGAATTTACATGAATTAACAAAAGAAAAAATAATCACTTAAAAAGCAATCATACGTATATGCTGCAATTCATTATATCCATTCAGTGGACTGTTCTAGCTTCTTAAAGTCGTAGGTTAAGCCCTTAAAATTATAGATTTCAGTTTATATTACTCATCTTTATGTACTAGAACTGCACAATTTCCTCATCTGACAACATACAATAAGGAGTGAATTTCAGCAGCTTAAAAATGAAACAAGCATTTATTTTGGATTTCTCCCACCCCCAAAAATATAAATATATATATATATATATTTATATACTGTATATATCTGTAGGTTTTGCTATACTTTACAAAAATGTATCACTAGATGGCAGCAGTGCATTTTGAACTTTGCCAATTTAACAGCTGCAGTAAGTAAAAAATTGTGCATGCATATCTGATCCTCATAGGACCTTTTCACTTCTATTTAAATATTTTAACAAAGGAAGAAAAAGCAACATTCACAGCACATCAAGCCCAAAATAGTTTACACCTTCCACACTGAAGCATTGTTTAAAATGTACCTGGCTAGGTCACCCTTACAGGAGAGGCTAAATAAGGCATGCTTTAGACAGTCATTGTGGTGTTGCTCACTTGAAAGGGGAGAGAACCAAAGAGGTCCAAGCAGAAAATTTAGCAGGTCATGTTGCCACCAGTTTCAGGAACCTAAAGACCTACAAAGAGAGAAGTACTTGGAAATTAAAAGGGAATATGCACTGTAACTCAGAACTACACCAATTGCTACATAAAATAAAGCTTTGGTTCAAACAGCATACTCAGGGATGTGGTATGAAATTCTGATCTCCATGTGCCTAACAGGACAGAACGGTGGCCCCGCTGATGCCTGGCCACTGTTCTTGTCTTGCCCTCAAAAGCAAAGTAGGACTAACAGGCCTGTGGGAATCATCCACCTAAGAAGGTGACAATTTAATTTTTACCTCTTTTTAAAGATATAAGTAAATATCAGTGCAAAGTATTTATTTTGAAACATCATACATATTCTGAAATGGCATTTATGTAAATACATAAAACAATGCAGCTGAAAAATGTTCCTTTCCAGTTACTAAACTGGGCATGCAGAACTTGTTCCATCAGTATGAGCTGCCCTGAAATAAACTAAAAGATCTTAGAACATAACGCCAACTACTGAAGAATTTGTAATAAGGTCAACAGAGGCACATTCACTTGAATATAATTTTTAAAATTTCTAAAGAAGGCCATACTTACATTATAAGCAGTACTTAATTTGTGTTTCTCTGGCGCAAGTTTTTATCTTTGTGATTGTTGGTAGAGTTGGTTTTCCTTTGGAGGAAAAATTGCATTACATGAGTTAAATTCAGTAACAACTTCTGAAAATATAACACATGGAAATATAGGGACTCTTTCACTTACTGCCATCCCTGTTGTAGTAAAATTTTTACCGCACAATTAGTGCATAAAAACATTCCTTATGTAACATACCTAAATACTTTCAATTAATAGATCCTTTTGACTCCCAAGGCAGAAAACACACAGACAACGTTCCCTTTGATTTCTAAACTATAATTCAATTACCCTAAAGGTGAAAGTAAGTAATTTTTTCTCCACTGAACACCACTGTCCCTTTTCAACTGATAAAAGATCATCATAAACTGGCAGTGCTGTGCCCTCTAGCACTTAACGAATTTGGGCATGTTTGCCTGCCTCTCATTCCTTAGTCCCCAACTCTAAGAGATTCTGCCAATCTTGGGTTGATTCCATACTTGCAGCTCCATCTCTCTTGGATACCAGCAAGTATTAATGGAGCAATACAGTCTACCTACAGTCCAGTTTGAAATGAACTTTAACATAACCCGAAGCTTCAGATATACTGGGTCATTTTCCCCGTATTACCAATTTAAGCAAATGGAATATGCAAAACTTTAAACAATTTTTTGAATGGTATTCCATTTTGTATGGCTACTAAAAACGAGACTGTGCAGCCTGTCCTGGGAATCAAATGGTCTTCAGTCAGATCTGTGTCAGGCTAAGAAGCCTACAGTGCAACACTCGTTTCCACTCTCCTACAATCTTAGCTACTCCATTTGATTAAACTGTAAATACAACATAATTCAATCAGAAACAGTTGGATCGATGTCCAATAAAGTACTTACATTGGCCCAGCTGGTTCATCGTCTACATGGGTATTCAGTTTTTTAATAATCCATGAGAGAGAAGAGAGGGAGAAAATTGTTAGACTCTGTGTAAGGATTAATAGAACAGCAAACTGCAAGTGGCAAACATGGCTATTCACAGCATTTATTAAAGGCCATTCCATCTGGAGGTGCAAAACACTCATGGAGTTATTATTTCTAGATTCAAGTTTTAATGGCAGGTATGTTGTTTCAATGGTTTTAGTTAACACTTTGAATGCTTGTCATGAAAAACTGCAACTGTAGCGGACAGATAGACTACAATATCATTATACTCATCTTGTCCCCAAGTTCCAGTGGTTCACTCTTAAATAGATGAGAAGACAAACCAACATTTCAGTTGTAAAATCCTGCTGTTTGTTTTCTTGTGGTGAATGCATGCAGTTTTGGCTCAATCCTGCAATGTAAATGGATGTGTACATTCTGTATGTTTAGCCACACATCCTCACTTGCCCAAAGGGCACTCTGTTTTTCTTGTTGTTTTTTAATCTTTAGGGTAGTCTTTGGTCTGAGAAATGAGATTGAGGAAGAGGAAGCCACAATAGTTCAACCTAATACTGGGTCAGCCATGCTGGGCTATTATGCCAGCAACAAGCGTATGCATACCAGAGGATGTTCTGTGGCACAGCAGGGAAAGCTGAATAGTGGTGACATCCCTCTAGAAAAGACTTCGATAGAAAGAAAGGCTCACTCTTGTGCCCTGGCCAAAACCAGAACCCAAACCCAAATGAGCCATGAGATATCTTTAAACAAACAAACAAACAAACAAACAAAAATCTTACACTATCTGAGTTAGAAGCCTTCTTAAATTGTTACTTTATGATTCTGTTTTGTAAGTTTTTCTTTCCTGTTTCAACTAAGGGCAACTTGGTCCCCTTTAAACAGAGATATACATATATAGATAGAAAGTTTAAAAAGAAAAAAAAGACCCCCAAAGGAGAGGAAACAAGTGCTCTTAGTTTGTTTTTATTATACAAAAGTTAGGTGGACACAATGATTCACAACAGTTTGATTTCACTGAAGGCTTCTAGAAAAACTCTCAGCAGGATTCCACAAGGGGGCTTGGTGCACATGAAGCAGTTATGGAGGTTACAGTCTCAGTGTAGGCATCTGCAGGAGCACACATCGGGAGTAATGTCTGTCAGAGGGAGACATTGCTCCACCTGTTCCTTCGAGGCAACGGAGAGGCAAAGCCACTGCCAGCATACACAGTGACTGGTGCAAAAAAGGATTTCAAAAAAAAGAACTAACCACAAACCAATGACTCATCAGCCAAAACAATAGGCTAGCGACACACTAGTGTCCACAGGAGTCCACTACTAACAACAGTACACTATCAAAACAGGTACAGAGAACAAACTAAGACTTAAGGACACCCAAGACATCTGTGTGCTGCATATGCAGTGGAGAGATACAGAGACATACCAGGTACTAAGACACACATGCCCAGTCTAAATCCTCCCCATACAACATCCTAATGCTCAACATCCCAGCCAAGCCAGCTCAGCTACATGCTAGGAACTAAGCACTTTGGGGATTTAAAGGAAAAGACACAGGAAAAAACAGAATATTTTTAGTGCTCTGGCTGTGCACCAGAAAATACAAAATTCTAATGTAAGATAGCCAATCAAGAATATCACCAATCTACTTTCAACTTTAAAATAAAAAGCAAGGGAGGGAGAATCACAATAGCCAGGCTATTCTACTCAAAACGTGACACTGTAGGCACCAAAACAAGCACCTCACACCACAGGCTTTTTTTCTTTTGGAGTGGGGGTGGTTCCCTGGTGTCTGGTTAATAACACCACTTTCCAGCCCAACAAGCTGGTAACACGCAAAGGGCTGCACGTAGGTGTTTTAGCAACAGTGCCTCTGGCGTAGCTGCCATGCCTGCCGGTGGGAGTAGCTATGATTCTTACTGGGGTTTAAATTCCAAGAACCCCCTTCATCTCTCCCCCCAAATTCACTTTCACAGTGACAAGGAACAAAGAAAATAACCTCGTGTCTCCCTACCTTCCTGCACTGAATCACTATCTATATGTAGCACCACTCTTACTTACAGGTCAGACAAAAAAACGACCCCTAACAGGAAAGTCAGGAGAGAGGGAAAGAACAGAACTACAGAAAAAAGGTACGAAAATCAAAGTAAATGAAGATTAAACAGCAAACTGAAATCCAAATTAGTTGTGAAAGTGAATGAAGTAAACTTGAAGAAAAGTGTTAACATTATGAACTGTGCATCGTATAGACTGAAGCGGAGATTAAACAAACTCCAAAAGCATGCATATTGCTCACTTACCACCATGTTTTAAGGGTTTGATGCAATTGAGGGGGGAAAAAAAAGAAGTCATAGTAACCGACAAATATCAACATACCCCCAAACCCTCAGGCCAAAAGATAGCTGCCTTAAACAATGACTGTTCTCTCCACCTCGGAATTACTCACAGCCACTGGCTAATGAGAGTAAGAGGACTGGGGCGAGAA